ACCCTATGATGATGAATTAGGTTATAAGCCTTCTTTTGTAATTGCTTTAAATTTTATTCTGTTTCAAAAGTCTAAGGTCCATAGGATTGAATTTGAAACTACGTGACCTCTGCTGACAAGACTCCCAGCTTTGGTAATTTGATTTTGAAACTATGGGGAAAAAAAGTTGATTTTGATTTTAGATTTTCATTTCTGATTTTTACAATTTTGATTTTCTGAAGAATTTATATAAAGGCCTACATTTTATTTTTCCTTTTGTCTCTTTGGAGTTTTTTCAAGTAGTTCTGTAGTTCAGGTTAACAAACAGCTTGGTTACTTTGATGTGAGCAGGCAGTGGTAAAAAGAATCTAGTCTCAGAAAACTAGAGTTTCTCCTATAAGTATATGAAGGAAAGCTCTTTGTCTTTGCAAATATGAGTAAAAGTGCAGTTCCATAAAATATTCCACATGGGTTATCTGCAAACTAAGGGAGCTGTGTCTATACATCTTCCCTTGTGTCTCCAATTATTTTGGCTTCTGGAGGATGAAAATTAGTATAGACAACATCGATAGAAGTTTTCAACTCAGAAATATGATAGGAAATTTAATAGTTTGGTTTGAAACATCTATATCTTTAAAATTGTGCTATTGAGTGAAATTATTTTTTCACCTGTGTCATTTGTGTTGGGTACATGCTGCACAAGGCAGCCTGAGGTGAACAGTTTAAGTCATGAAATGTGGGGTAAAATGGAAATTGTGAAATTAGAAGCTTTGAAGGTTAAGATTACAATTCTGGAATTGAAATAATAAGGTTTGGTGGAAGGAAAACGGTTACTTTTGGAATGAGATAAATGGAAAGGGTCTAATTCATTTCACATTATGCTGGTAAGATGTAGTTGGTGTTTTTAATATCTTAAATTGTCACTGTTGGAATAATTAAATGATGTTTTTTAAATTATGACAGAAATTTTCAGAAATATAAAATAGGAAAAATTGGTAGTCTTTTGCTTGATTGAGCAGAGGAAATTTATGTAACCTCAGGAGAGTTCCTGAGACATTCCTTAAAATTTCTCACTTTTGGGCTTCCCTGGTGGTGCAAGGGGTTAAGATGCAACCTGTGAAGCTATCTGCAGCCACTGCAGCATTAGTTTGATCCCTGGCCAGGGAACTACCCACATGGCGAAGCAGACCTCTCCAGACTCACCTGCTGCGCCCCTCAGCAGTGTATTTCAGTCAATCTGCCTGTTCTGTTCCCCACTCTGTCTCTGGTGAATCCTCTCACCCCCCACACTTCTTGCCTGTACCCCAGCTCTTATATGCATAAATAAATAAATCTTTAAAAAAATTTCTCGGGCCTCCCTGGTGGCGCAGCGGTTGAGCGCTGGGTTGCGAAGCTGCCCGCAGCCCCTGCAGCGCCGGTTAGATCCCCGGCTGCTCCCCAGCCACCGGAGGAGGGTCCCGCATGGCGCGCAGACCTCTCCTGCAGCCCGCTGCTCCCCTCAGCAGTGTACTTCGGTCCTTCTGCCTGCTCTGCTCCCCACTCTGGCTCTGGTGAATTCTCTCACCCTCCCACGCTTCTGACTGTACCCAGTGCTTGTATAAATAAATAAATAAATCTTTAAAAAAAAAAAATTCTCACTTTCCCTACAGGAAAGACTAGATTAATTGGACCTATTTTTACATTTATCTGGCTAATTGGCACTTCATGGGAAGTAGTCCTGCTTGAGAGAAATGTTTCAGCTTAGCCTATATATGAATATTAATATTTGTGGTCTAAAACTCACTATGTGAATATGAAGTTTAAGAGAGGTTGAGTCAGTTTTTTCCATCAGCCCCCCCTTCCCTGAGCACTGCACTGGCTGTATCATGCTGACTCTCAGCTCTGGGCTCCTGCTAAGCTAGCACCACAGTTCTTTCCCTCTAGTGCCCAATATGACTATCTACTGAAACCTCACCAGCTACTGCAAGATGCTTTCTGACATCTACAAGATCCTGGAGATTGAAGATGGGTATGCCTACAGGTGGAGAAGAAGACAGTCAGTAGGACAGAGGGCGACATTTTTGATTCATGAATAAGTAGAAATGCTTCCGCTGAAGGCCCTGAGGGTGAAGTTACGAAAAGCACAGTAATTATTTCAGATGATATTGCCATGAACCATCACTTGCAAGAAACCAACTTCACAAAAGAAGCCTACAAGGAGCACATCAAAGATTGCATGAAATCAATGAAAGGCAAGTTTGAAGAACAAGAGGCAAGAATTAGTAAGACCTTTTATGACAGGGGCTGACAGAACAAAGCAGGCACATCCTTGCTCATTTCAAGAGCTACTAGTTCTTTTTTTGGTGAAAACTTGAATCCAGATGGCATGGTTGCTCTGTTGGACTACGATGAGGATGGTTTCATTCTAGATATGATTTTCGTTAAGAATGTTTCAGAAGTGGAAAAATGTTAACAAATTTGGCACTATTTTTGATCTATAACCTGTCATCATATCTAGCTACTGTTTTTCATTCATATACTAGGTCAGTGAACTGGGACTGATGTAATCTAAAAATTTTCATTTATTTTGATCTTGAGTTATTTGGAGTTGAGGAATTAAGAAAAATATGTTCTGCAGATTGTCTAAAACCAATGTTCATTTTAAATAATACATATATAAATTCTTATGTGAAACTTAAGAGTTTGATCTGTTCTGAAATAATACTGCTTGTAGAATATGGTCGTTCAAATTTCCTAGTCAACTATATTTTTTTAATATATATTCTTTAAGATTTTTATTTATTTATGCATATAAAAACTGGGGTGCAGGCCAGAGGTGCAGGTTTGGGGGTCAGAGGACTAACCAAAGACAGAGTGGGGAGCAGAACAGGTGGATCTCCTGAAACAATGCTGAGGGGAGCAGCACGGGAGGCAAGAGAGGTCTGCTGGGCCATGTGGGTGAGCTCCCTGGCTGGGGATCAAACTCAGACAACAGTGGCTGGCAATAGCTTAATAGTGCTGAGACTTAATCTCTGCACAATATTTGAAGCCCCTCAATTATATTATTATCAGATTTTTAATTTTGTTCTATTTCAGGGTTTACATAGGAGTGAAAGAATATAATACATTTTTGTTTGATATGTTACTGCTGTTTTTTGTTTGACTGTTTTAATTCAAGGAATTTTTTTCTTTTATCTGACCATGATCTGCAGCAACATTAAATTGTACTTTGTGAACAGAATTGTATTTGCATTTTCTCTTTCCTTGATACCATTATAACATGGAATATTACTTATGGCAATCTGACACCTTTGCATAATTTCAACAAGTTTGATTTGTTTATCCTTAACAATTAGAAATACAGGTACATTATTGATGCTGTGATATGACTGTTACAGTTGACATCTCCCGGAATTGAGATTGTGCAGAGCCAAAAAGAAAAGAGTCTGTGACCTTGCCTGCAGGAGTCTAGAGTCTTCCCAGCAAAGTAGGGTAGCTTACCTCTGTTGGAAGGCCCCAAGGCCTTGAGAAACTTGAGAAGAGGAAATCAATAGAAAGGTACAAATGTTACAGGTGGAGTATAGTGAGATCATCCTGCGGCATGGCTCCCGAGACCTGTAGAGGCCAAATGTTGAGAAGTAAATCTAAAATCCTTGTATGGAACGTTATAACAATGCCAAAAGAAATTCTGCTTAGTTATTCTATCCTATGAGTTTATGCAAAAATAGATCAAATAGGTTGGGATTAGATTTAGCTTAGCAATGCATAGCACATTGTGTGTGTGTGTGGGGGGGGGTGGATGATGGCAACATTTACTGAGATAGGAGAGAGAGAACAGGAATTATTAAGTGTTATGTGTTGACCATAGTTATATTTCACAAAATATCAACTAGTCCCTATGAGCTAGGCATTGCTCTTAAGCTCTTAATTCAATTATCTGAGGGGAGTCACTGTCTTTGGTGCGACTGTGGAGGAGGGTTCAACAAAAGAACCAACGAAGGAGGAAAACTTACTTAAGCGTGAAATCCCAGAAGCCAACCTGGGGTGGGATGGGTGGGAGTTTGGAAGGATGGTCTGCGTTGTCAGATGTCACTCTAAGGCAGAGAGGCAGAGACTTGACCCCTGCACTTGCTAACATGGCTGCAAGTGACCTGGAGAGATGCCATTCCAAGAGCTCGGCGGAAGGTCAACTGAGTATAGAACGGAAAGGAGGAAGAGCCCACGGAGGATCTACGCTACTTTTCAGCGGACTTTGGCTGCAGGGTCTAGAGAGGGCTCGAGCTGGATTATGACTGACAGTGCGGCACCTGTTTGATTGTTGGCAGTAACCAAAATGGAGGTGGAGCGGGGGCGCTGAGGACTAAGAACAACGGCAGCAGCAGTGTCCCCGGGCAGGCCAGTGGGCCGGCGGCCGGCCACAAGCGAGGACGTCACACTACCTGCTGCACCCCGCCCCGGCTCTCCCGGGCAGCGCTCCGCGGGACGCGCCGGGCCCTAGTCTCGCGGGGCTGGCGCCCGCGCGCCGACGCCGGCGCTGGAACCACGACTCCCGGTGGGCCTTGCGCGGCCCCAGTGCGCAGGCGCCCGCGGGCCTCGGACGCCCCCTCCCCTCCCCGGTTCCCGGCTGCATCTTCCGACGCCAGAGGGACGGGCTCTTCTTAAAGGAGAAACGGCGGAGGCGCGTTAGGTGGGCCCAGTCCTGACCGCTCTCGGGCTTGCGCGCGAAGCCGAGGGAGCGCAGGCAGCGCAGGCGCAGTGGGGCAAGGGCGGGTGGGTGCCAGGTAAGGTCTGGGCCAGGTGGGTCGCGGCCGCGGCTGCGGGCGACCTGCGAGCCGCTTTGGGGATTGGCCTGTCCCGCACACTAAGCGGGCGGTCAGGACGCCATCCCGGCCCGCGGCCCGCCCCCGTCGACGCAGGGTGAAGAGCACTCGGTGCAAACGGCCCCGCCTTTCCCCACTTAGCAGCGAGAGGCCCCTGGCCTCCCCAGGTGGAAGTGTGACCCCACCCCACCCCTCCCCACCCGCGGGCTTCACGGCCCTTCCCATAGCGCCAGCCTCACACTTAAGTGGGCACGGGCCAAAACACCGCTCTGACCTTGACCCCCTGGCCCTGTTTCCCTCCTGGAGGCACCGCCCCATAGTGCTGGTTACCAGCCTTGTCCCGGTGGTCCAGGCCGGAAGGCAGCGCAGGCAGTCCAGGTGATTGGCCTTGACCCAACTGAGTGCTGAGGGAATTGATGCCCGAGCGCAGGAGGAGCCTGAGCTTTGGGCCATGGACTGAGTGGACCTCATGCATGTTGTGTCCCCCCAGCCCCCTCCCGCAGGCCGGTGCTCATGGCCGCATCCCTGGCAGAGTCGTCCAGCAGGCGACGGGAGAAGCGGAGGCAGCTGGATGCTCGCCGCAGCAAGTGCCGCATACGTCTGGGCGGGCACATGGAGCAGTGGTGCATCCTCAAGGAGAGGCTGGGCTTCGCTCTGCACTCGCAGCTTGCAAAGTTCCTGCTGGACCGGTTAGGGCCCAGGGTTGGGACTCTGGGGTGGGTTCCCAACCCCTGGCCAAGAGCTGGCCCCCTCCTTACCACCCCCAGATTTCTCGTTTTAGCAGAGTGGCTTTTGTGATTTGTGACCTCTCGGGGTCCTGTCCCTAGTGAATGGTTCTTTAGGTATGTGAGTGTCCAGAGCTAAAAAGACAGCTGCCAGCTGGGCCTGACCTGACCTGCCTCTTGTTCCCCTGGTAGGTACACTTCTCCAGGCTGCGTGCTCTGTGCAGGTAGGTAGGAAATGGCTGGTGGCAGGGACTTGGGAACCAGAGGGGGAAGGGGATGACATGTGTGACATGGATACATCCTCCCCAGGGTAGGTGGATCAGAGGGAACCCTTGAGTTTGGGAAGAGGTGGGAAAGTTAGGGAGTCCAAGGTAGAGAAGGGACCTTTGGGGGGTCTGAGCTCTGAAGAGTGGTAACTCCCAGGTTACCCAGGGAGTTGGAGGGACAAGGCTGTCTGGATGTGGCTCTGCAAGGGGAGAGAAGGGAGTCTCTCAGTTCACCCTTTTACCCTCACCCCTCCAGGTCCTGAGCCTTTGCCCCCCAAGGGTCTGCAGTATCTGGTACTCCTGTCTCATGCCCACAGCCGAGAGTGTAGCCTGGTGCCTGGGCTACGGGGGCCTGGGGGCCAAGATGGGGGACTTGTGTGGGAGTGCTCTGCTGGCCACACCTTCTCCTGGGGCCCTTCTTCAGGCCCCACACCTCCAGAGGAGCCCAGGCCAGTTCCCCTTCCAAGTACTGCCCAGAGAAGCTGGTGCCCAGAAAAACAGAAGCCTATAGGTAGGATGGGGAAAAGAAGTTGTGGAGAAAAGGGAGGGGGAAAGGTTTCCCATTTTTTTTTTGTAGATAAGAACCCCGTTCACTCAGTGGAAGAACTCTATGCTGACAAAGTATATCCTCAAATATATTTTTAGGGATAAAAGCAAAATAGAGAATAGAATGTATGGTATGCTGTCAGTGGGAAAATAAATGGGAGGAGAATATGTATTTGTATGTACTTATTAGCATAAGGTATCTGAAAGAAACCATGTTGCCTGTACTAAGAACTAAGTGGCTGCTGTCAGTTTTGGAAGGAGACTTTTCATTGTACAGTATGGTTGTTTTTAACCATGTGAATACATCATTGTTAAAACAGCCCCTTTGACGCCAGTAGCCTCTGCCATCTCCTCCTTCCTGAGTCCTCCCACCACCTCAGACCTTAGAACTCTCCCTGTCCTCATTCCACTAGCCCAGAGTTCCTTTCCCTCTGACTTTCACTGTGCCAACAGGTTTGGAATCTGAGCATAGTGAAAGGAATCAGGAGACCAGGTTACCCAGGTGAGGCTGGAGGTCAGAGGGTCAGGATAGACCTGGGTGGACAGTGGGAGTGAGGGAGCACGACCTTAAGCTTGCTTTCCTTGAACTTGTAGGGGGATGGGATCCCCGCTGGAGACCTTCTTGCCCCAAGGAGAAGAGGAGGAGGAGGAGGAAGATGATGATGAAGAGGAGATGCTTAGTGATGCCAGCCCATGGACCTACAGTTCCTCCCCAGATGAGCAAGTTGGGGCTGAGGGCGGGAGCATGTGGCTGGGGAACTCAGAGCTTTGCATACTTAAGGGAAGAGCTTATTGGTGGCAGGGTAAGCATCGCAGAAGGCAGAAAGAATTAGAGACTTCGCATTGGGTGGAAAGGGGTGATTTTATACCCAAAAGAGGTATGAACAGAGAGCCCACAGTAGGGGTAAGATTGTTTCAAATTTGGGCTATTTGCCATTTGGGGTCTGGGGTTGGACTGGGGCTCGCTGAGTGGCAGGGATAATGCCTTCCTCCTCTTCATTCCCCATTTAGCAGTGAGCCAGACGCCCCCAGATCACCCCCTTCTCCTGTTTCCCACACACTTAAGGATGGGGAGACACCCTCTACCTCAGCAACTACCCCTACTCTTCTTGCTGTACCTCCCTCATCAGCATCCTCATTGGGTTCTGGAGCTCCTCTTCCTATGGATATGGGGGTACAGCCAGAGTTCAGTGGAACCACTCAAGTGACACAGCTGACTGAGCCCCTGGCCAGGTAATCTCATGGCTGAGACAGAGGTCAGGGTCATCTGGGATGTGGCCCTTCCCTCAGAGCCCTCTACTCCCTCTTTGCTGCCCATAGCCCTAGGAGTCAGACCCAGTCTACTCTTTCTGTGGCCTGGGATGAGACTGACACTGCACAGATTGGCCCCAAGAGAATTAGGTAGGCCTGGGGATGGCATCAGGATGGGGACCAGAGGTGGGGGCAGAGGGGAACTCGCATGACCCCCCTCCCCCATTCTTCCTCCAGGAAAGCTGCCAAAAGAGAACTGCTGCCCTGTGACTTCCCTGGCTGTGGAAGGATCTTCTCCAACCGGCAGTACTTGAATGTGAGGGTGGTGTGAGGGGTACACTTGGGCTCTGAGAGAGAAGCTGAGGTAAAGGAACCTGGGGTGCAGCAGAATTCACAGCCAGGAAGAGAAGATTGGGCTGGCCACGCAGAGCTTGCCTGTAGTTACAATCACCAAACCAGACATCTGGTAATAATGCAGAAAACCAAAGCTCCCTGCCTGGACTGCTTGTTGCCTGGCTCTCCCAAGAACTGTGTGGCGGTGACAGTAGAGGCATTCCTCAGGCTTTTGGGGTGCTAGCTCCTATTCTAAGCCCTTGATGTGAGTCTTTTTCTCTTCATGACATCCCCGTGGAATAGGTGCTAATACTATTCCTGGTTTGCAGATGAGGAAGTTGAGGTACCCAAAAAGGTGAAGAATTGTCCAAAGCTCCTTGGCTAGTGTGTGATAGGACTGGAGTTCCTAATTCCACACTTACTCTCCCCCTGCTGGCTTGAATGGGTACTCCTAGCAGGAGAAGGAAGGCTGCACTGTCCCCACTCTCACTCCTCTCACTTGACAGAGGGGCAAGGGTGTCAACCACACTGTCAGCGAGCACTCTCACCAGCCAGGTGCTGTGGCTGCATGAGGGCCCAGACCAGAGGGACCTTGAGGCATGGGGAGAAGGGAAACCAGGGAGTTCCCAAGTGATGGTAAAACTGCGTTGAGAAAAACCATTCAGCAGGGCGGGTCAGGTGTACTTGTGCCTGTTGTGGAGGAGAAAGTGACATTATGGAAAAGGTGAAAGCCACACACCAGGAATGTGAAATTAGGTCAGATCAAAATGGGGTTAGCACACTACCCTTAACAGTGGTCCAGGTTGAAAATGTGTGTACTTCCAAAGAATTGAGTAAAATCATATATACCCATGGTGAGCTATTAATAAACTATAGGTGATCTGGGTAATGTTGTTGTACATTAACACTAATCTGGAAGAGGACAGTCATATCCATGTGTTTCCGGCCTCAGAGACAGTGAATCTGTATTTAGGGAACCAGAAGTGCCAGCATAGTGGTACTTTGTACAGGGTATTGCAAGATGAGGGTGTGGCAAGGGGATGAGATCGTGGAATATGAGGGGAGAGTTTGGGTTCAGGGATGGGATTGGGGTGATTGTTGGGTTTAGAGATGGGATTGTAGTTAAAAGGTGGTCAGGATGACATGAACTGACAATGACAGAAGAACTGCTAAGAGATGAGAGAGAAGGTGGAACTGCTGGGTCATTTCTGGCAGTCTTCCTGAAGAGACCACCTGCTTTCTTCCCTAGCACCACAAGAAGTACCAGCACATCCACCAAAAGTCCTTCTCCTGCCCAGAGCCTGCCTGCGGGAAGTCCTTCAACTTTAAGAAACACCTAAAGGAGCATGTGAAACTGCACAGTGGTGAGTCGTAGAAATGCCTTCTCACCTCCTCCTTGTGGGTCTCTTTGTTTCTTCCATGGGACTCATTACCTCCCTTTCTGTGGAACCTGTAACCTCTGAGGTCCACTTCACTCCCCTCATTTTCTGCAGATGCTTTCATATCCCTCTGTGGCGTGACTACCACTCATCCTGTATTCTCTGTGCGTTAGCATCTGCCTGCTTGATGCTTTTCTCAGTGCTGGGATACAACAGTGAACAAAATAGGCAGTCCTCACCTCCTAGAACATCTGCGCCAGTGATGCAGGGCTATGAAGAGATGTGGAAGCAGGGGAAAGAAGAGAGTATGAAGGAGAACTTGATGTGTTTTTGTAGAAATGGAAGTATTATGAGCAGAGACCTAAGTGAAGGGAGGAATGGAGACCTGTCCATGCCTCTAGGCAGCATGTGGGAAGGCCCAAGCTGTCATCTGCATGGTATATTCCAGGAATAAAGAAGAGGTTAGGAAGGAAAGCAAGAGGTCAGATAGATGGTTGAGGTCTCCAAGACTACCATCAGGATGACTTTATTGATGCCAGGGTGAGATGGGCACCATGTCAGGGTCTTAAGTAACAACTTTAAAAGGACACTGCATTCACAATTGTGGAAAATAGGGAGCTGTGGTAGTGTAGTGCTTGGTGATGATGGCCTAATATGCTGGTGCAGCTGATTGGGTGAGAAATGGCTGGAGGCTAAGGGGGAGATAGAGCCCAAAGACTGCTGTGGGCAGGGCAGATTGGCCACAGGAAGGATGGGCAGGGGGTGTGGTGGGTGACTTGGAGGATTTCAGCCTGAGCAGTTGGGCAGAAGGTGACATGATTTCCTGAAAATGGGGTAGAAACAGTTTTCAGGAAAGGATCTTTTATTTGGGACATGCTAATGAGACATCTTGGAAGGCTGCGTAAGAAGTGTGTTCATTCTGAGCATGAGTAGTGTTGGAGAGCACTAACATGGACAGGGTGAGGTAGGTGGAGAAGAGGCCTGAGTGTGGGGAGTGAGGTGGGTGACAAATGATATCAGAGAGGCAGGTAGAGAAAGGGCTCTAGGAGGGGAGGTGTGAGCTCTGCCCAGGACCAACCCAGTAAGGTAAAGGTGAGAACAGGCAACTGTCATGGTGGTGGGAAGCCATCCTTTACCAGATGGCATGATGGCAGGTGTCGAGGGAGGTGACAGTCGGAATGGAGTGGGTTCAAGGCAGAGAGGAGCTAAGGAAGTAGAGACAGAGAATATAGACTCTTGGAAGTTTTACTGTGAAGATGAGCAAAGAAAAGGATTCTTAGCTGTGAGCTCAGGGCACAGAGATGGAGATGGGACTGTGTGCACAGATGGGAAAGACTGATGCTGGGGTGGGCAGACAACCTTGTTGGCGGGAAGGGGTGTGTCTCAGAGAGCAGCCATCAGGGAGCAGGGACTATTCTCATTTGTGGGCACAGAAGCAAGTGGGATGCTGGGTTAGGTGGAGGGAGGATGTGGGCATTCTCTCCTCGCTTTTCTCTTCTTGGTGACTTAAAACCCAGCATTGCTCCTGAAAGGCTGGTGGAGAGAAAAGGCAGTATGGAAAATGGCCTCTGGAGTCTAGAAAAAAGGAAAGTGAACTAACTGGGAAAATGCAGAGGCAAGGAGGGTGGGGTGCCCTTGAGACTTATGGTTGTAGATGAAAGAAAAGGCAGGAATGGGAGTGGAAATGTGGGTTTTTTTCCACTCCACTCAGCAGACATGCACTGGCCTGAGGCAGGCCAAGGTTCTGTTTAGTCTGACTTGGACTCTAGCTAAGTAGGCAGGTGCATTGGTATGTGAGTAAAGGCAAGCTACAAAGATAGCCCCAGAACTGAGAGAAGGGTGGGGAGATAATGGGAAAGTACCAGGATGATGGACTGGCAGCCTAGAGTCACAAGATTATTACAGCAGGACAAGGTAGGAGACCTGGCTAGAATTAGAATTCTTGGAATTGCAATTTCCAGGTGATGCAGTGTTGGGAAGTGAAATGGAATAGCAGCAGAGAGGATGGGAGATTGGGTCACTAGGTCAGGGAATAGAAGTGGAGGGCTGGGTATGGAGCAGACAGACTGCAGTAGGAGTAGAAGTGGAGGAGAGGACCTGGGACCAGAGTCATGTCAGGCACAGATGATGGGGTAAAGGCCTAGGAGTGTGTTTGTGGACTAACAGTGGTGTTTATAGAGTGGTGGGGGACAGAGGTCTAACGGATGCCTCAAGGATGCTCCTCTGCCACAGGCCCTGAGGTCAGGAGATACAGGAGAAAACCACAGCTGGCCTGAGCAAGCTGCCAGATACAGGCATCAGGCAAGTGCTGTGAGAACAGGCAGGAAGGGCAGATTCAGGGAAAGAAGAGGGGAAGCTGATGGCTGGTGGCCACCGAGCTGCTGGCAGCTCTGTAGGACCCTGTTATTGGAAGGCTGGGAGATGCAGGTTCAGTGGGAACAGTCCTGTGGGGTTGGTGGGCAGGGGTTCATAGGAGGGTCCAAAGCTGAGGATGAATGCTGGGGTGTCCCCTATGTACCCACAGACACCCGGGACTACATCTGTGAGTTCTGTGCCCGGTCCTTCCGCACTAGCAGCAACCTCGTCATCCACAGGCGCATCCACACTGGAGAGAAACCCCTACAGTGAGTGTGGAGTGAGGGGAGCTGAGAGGGAGGAGCTACCCTGGCGGCTGGGGGCAGGAGGAACCCCTGGGAAAGTCAAGACAGGCTGAGGCCTTTCCTTTCCTCTGCTGCTGTCTCTGGTTCAGATGTGAGATCTGCGGGTTCACCTGCCGACAGAAGGCCTCCCTGAACTGGCACCGGCGCAAGCACGCAGAGACAGAGGCTGCCCTGCGTTTCCCCTGTGAGTTCTGTGGCAAGCGCTTTGAGAAGCCTGATAGTGTCACAGCTCACTGCAGCAAAAGCCACCCAGCCCTGCTCCTGGCTCCACAGGAGTCACCCAACCCATCGGAGCCCTGTCCCAGCATCTCTGCCCCTGCTTTCCAGGGGTCCAGGCCCTTTCTGGCTCCTCAGGCTCCAACCCTGCTCCCTCAGTAGTGAGCATTCCTTGGGCTTTGGGAAGCCAAACCCCTGGAACTGAAAAGGAACAAGGAGAAAGGCAACTACCTGGTGCTCAGGAACTAGGGTGACAGGAATCATGCTGTGGACAAGACTGGGCTCTGAGGGAGCCAGACTACTTTAGTCTTCTAAGAGGACAGAATAAACCCAGTTTCTCACATGGACATGTGTGGGCACAGCATTGTTTTGGCATCTGTGGCACAGGAACCCTGATTCCTTTGGAAATAGGCTCTGCTGGAATGTGCATGAGTCGTGAATTGCACGACTCTGGACACCCCCGGCCCCCTTCCTACCTTCTCAGCTTCACCCCAAGGATCCAGCTTTCTTCTGCAGTTTACTTTGACATTTTGCAGCCCTTTCCTGTGGAATGTCACACCACTCTTGGACTCAAGCAGGGCAGGCTGTGACAGTATGGAGAACACTGGGTCATTCCAGAGGGGCAGGTTGGAGCAAAAGCAGAAGTATGTGATCCTGTCCATTTACTTGTTCTCCATAACCAAGAAAACCAAATGAATAAGCTCCCAAAGAGTCTCACCTCCCAGTACAAAAAGGAGGGGGGCTGTATGTGCAGGACCACTGAGATCTATCTAAGGAAGGGGTGAGAGACTGTAGGACATCGAAATAGCCTAGCTCTTGGGTCACTCCTAAAATCTGCAAAGACAGTAGCCTCAGGCTTGACAAAGGTGCCTCTTGGTATCAGGAATCCAAACAACTCTTTAACAGTCATAGCAAAAATATCGCTGGCCAAAACCAGGGAATTTTCCATCCTGGGGAACCTCATTTCCCTATGACTCCAAACTTGATTGGAAATAGCATTCTGATGCACTGCTTTGTGTGCCTGGTTTTGTAGACCTCTGTGGTCTTGGCCCAAGTCCCAGGCTAATATCCCCAACCTGCCAGGAGAACACTGGCCTGAGAGGCCCCTCGATCTGGACACTATCAGGTTTGGCTCATGGGATGATGGGCAGCCATGCTGAAGGCTCCCACCCATCTGCATGTGGATGGGTCAGATCCACCAGGCCCAGGCTGAGTGCTTCTGGAGTGGAAATCCCCTTCCTTCCTGAAGTGAGCTTTCCCATAATATCTCTGCCTGCAAATTTCCCATCTCAGAAGCTGGGGGAGAAAGCAGCAAAGAGACTAAAGAGTGGCACCAAGAGACAAGAAGTCCATGGGACAGGTGGGATGTGACCATGGCCACAACTGATTATCATCTAGAGTCAGGAAAGCAAAAGTACCTGGGGAGGAGAGGTTGATGGTACTCAGGCTGGAAAAAGGAGATGGACAAGAGAAGACAGAACACAAGTGTGAAAACAGGAAAGTAATTCCTGAGAGCACAGCAGCAGCCAGGGGACACACCAATACCTGGGCTCTCTTCCATGAGTGGGGACTGAGAGGTATTCCCAACCTACTGGCTGCACTGGCATCCCAGTAAGAAAGGATGGGAAAAGAACTTGGAAGGGAAGCAGGTGTAGGGGCAGAGCATGGAGCCAGGTGAAGGTCTTCCAGCAGAGAGGAAACACAGCCATACTATCCATAGACCCACATGCCGGTTGCCCTGCTGTCCCTGAGGTACTTGCCCAGCTCACTTCAGTGATGCCTCTCAGCAGTTCTCTCTCATCTGTGCAACAAATGCTGGCTTTTCCTTTCTGCCTGCTCAGCAGATGAGGGTGGTACCAGCAGTACCTTTGGGGGCAGCAGTGGCAGCTGCAGCTCGAGCACGAGTATGGGCCTGCTGGTGCTGTGACAGGGAACGGCTGTGGCTAAAGCACTTGCCACACTCAGCACATTCTGCAGGCTGCTCACCCAGGTGCGTCTTGCGATGCAGTGCCAGCTTGGAGCCCACACTGAAGGCCTTGCCACATTCAGGACACTTGTGGGGCTTGTGGCCAGCATGGTTGCGACAGTGTGTGTGTGCCTGTGCTTGGTGAGATCTGAGCGGTCACTGAAGGCCCGGCTACAGTCGGGGAATGGGAAAGGCCTCTCACCTGTGTGGATGCTCTGGTGCACCACCAGGTCCGAGCGCTGCCCAAAGGTCTTGCCGCACATGGAGCACGCGTGCGGCCGCTCACCCTGGTGGCTGCGCCAGTGGCGCAGCAGCGTGGAGCTCTCACTGAAGCGGCGCCCGCAGTCACCACAGGCGAAGGGTTTCTCGCCTGTGTGTACACTGATGGCGCACCAGAGTGGTGCTCTCCAAGAAGGCTTTGCCGCACATAGGGCACTTGAAAGGTTTCTCACCGGAGTGCGTCTGTAGATGTGTCGTCAGGGTGGAGCTCCTGCCAAAGCTCTTGCTGCACTGGTGCAGGTCCAGGGCCTGTGGCTGCTGAGGCAGGGAGTCACCAGTGTTACGGGCCACATGGGCACATGTGTGGCTCTGCAGCCTTGCACTGCTGCGGAAGGCCCGTGGGCACTGAGCGCAGTGGTGGAGCTGGGTGATAGGTGCGACAGAGGGTCCCCACGGGTGCACCCGCTCCTGGTGGAAGCGCAGTGCACTCTGGCAGAAGATGCGGGCACACAGCTGACATCGGCAGGGTTGCTCTGGTGGATGGGGCGGTGTAGTAACAGAGCAGGGTGATGTGGGAAGCGGCGCCCACAGGTGCGGCAGGAACAGGAGTGTCTGAGCCGCTGGTATTCACTTTGGTGTAGGTCAAGTCGGCCGCTGTGATGAAAGCTCTGGCCACACTCACTGCAGATGTAAAGCGTCTGGCCACTGTGGGCACGTCGGTGGGAGCAGAGGTCTGCAGCCCCCGTGCAGCGCTTACCACAGTCTAGGCAGCAGAAGCAGCTGTCGCCAGCATGGGCATATTCATGCCGCGGCAGCACAGAACTGTAGCAGAAGCTCTTGCTGCACTTGCTGCATGCATAAGGCCTGCTGGCCACTGCTGCCTCTGATGCAGGGAACATTGTAAGGTCCTGACCACGACACCTGTGGGGTGCAGGCTGTAATCAATCCCACAGGAAGGTGTGCCACTCACACTCCCAGGCCTGTCTCATATAGCAGTGGGTTTCTTTCAGTTATCTTAAAGTCTGAAAAGGGAGCAGTAACAGAAAAGAGGAGGCATGGACAATTGGCTGCAGATTCCAGGGTCCCTTCCCTCACAGGTAGGTGACGTGGCTATTATGGAAGAGGACTGCAGCTAGGTTCTTCCTGCATCTTGAGCCCTGCCAGGAGAAGGGAACTGTGAGTCCAGCAATACCCTGCAACAGCTATAGTCTTTGGGAATGGCAGGGTGAGCACAGACTCCCTATTTCTTGTAACTTCCTAACCATCTCTCAGATACCATTCTCCAAGAGGAGGCAAAGCCTAGAAGAAGTATTCTTGCCTAGAAATTTGAGATGGAGAGGAGTAGCAGGTCCTGAGCAACCAGGAAAGGAAAGGGAGATTCGGATGTGGAGCTCCCCACCTCTCCCAACATGAGCGCCATTAACAGATTCAGGAAGAAAGAAGGTGTGCCCAGCCTGTATTCTAGCCTTAGACTAGGGATCTTGGCCCAGAGATACACTAGGAAAATACCAAGAAGGGATGGGAAGTTGAGACCACATCAATACCTCCCCTGTGAGACCCAATTTTCTTGTATTACCAATGTTAACCCAGCCATACCTGAGCTAGAAGGGCAATGAATTAAAGCATAAATCTGTACAGCAGAGGTAACCTGGGCAAAAGCTCAGAAAAGGCTGGGGTCTATTCAAAGGAAAGAGAAAAAAATGTATTGCTTTTTCAGAGTCCAAAGCTCCTAGGCTTTGGACAGTGTCTGATAATCAATCCATACCAGTGCACAGTCCAAATGTTCCCTGGCCTAGCCTTGAGAAAGCAACTCAGGATCCAGGAAAGGGAGCATGGTTAATACACAAAGAATATTATCCAAAGTTGATAGTATTATCCAAAGAGTGATTTTCACACATTCAGGGAAGGCTGGGGAGAAGAAAGGGGCATCCTTTCTAATTCTTAGGGCATCCGAGTTTGCAGACTTTCCTCACCATCCCAGCTCCAAAGATGTGCAAACTTAGTTGTAGAGAGGCCCCTTTATGGGAAGGAAATTTGCTGTTATCTTTATTTCAAAGGTCTGACAGGTCAGACTAGGCAGCTCTCTAGTAACAGTCAGTCTTTGTGCACAGAACCTCCTGTGCCTGCTAGTTACAACACAAAAAGGCATACTCTTTTTCAGCATACTGTCCTCACCACTGTTTCTCCAAGGCCCATGGATCAGTACCCAGTTCTGCTCAGTGATATACTAGAGATCATGTAGTCACTAGTTCAGTATAGTTCAGTGAAACAGGTCAGTGAGAGGAAGGAGTGGCTAACCCTCATATTTGCAGATGGAAGCTCATCATTTGCAGAAGGAAGCTAACCCTCATATTTGCAGATGGAAACTTTGGTTTAAACATCCCATAGATGGTTCCTCATCTTTTGGATGCAAATGTGGTCAATTGAAGAAAGCCTTAAAAACCACAAACCTGCAGGGGTGGGCTCTGGTGCTTCTGCTGCCATCCACATTGGGAAGGAGTGGCTGATGTTGGATGTCCTTTCATACTTCCAGAGCAGGATGTGCCGTGCCCTACAGGGGTGAAGAGGGACAATGTGAACTTACACTGTGCAGAGGGCACAGAGGCAGGGAGAGAAAGAGAACTATTTCCTGGAGGATATTTTTTTAATGGATATTTTCAAATATAAAAAATGAGCATCTCAGGGCCACCCCTGGTGGCGCAGTGGTTGAGCGCTGGGCTGCGAAGCTGCCCGCGGCCTCTGCAGCGCTGGTTCTATCCCCAGCCACTGGCGAGGGTCCCACCTGGTGCGACAGACCTCTTTTGCTGTGCCCACTGCTCCCCTCAGCAGTGTATTTTGTCAGTCTGCCTGTTCTGTTCCCCGCTCTGGCTCTGGTGAATTCTCTCACCCTCCCATGCTTCTGACTGTACCCAGTGCTTGTATAAATTAATAAATAAATCTTTAAAAAAAAAAATCTCTCTACTGTTGTTTCATTTATTACATCCTTCCACTATGGTTTTTTTTTTTTTTTTCCCGTCTGGAGTATTTTAAATGCCAGACATATTCAATAAGGATGAATTTTAAGCATAATCTGTAAGCAGAAGCCCTCCTGCAGATCTGAGAGCAAACTTAAGAGTCAGTTCTTCCAGAGGGAACTTTCAACTCAGCACTTGGGCGCCTGATTTCTAGATGGTTGTAAATTCAAAGGGATGCTTTTCCTCAAGATTGATTGGTTAATCCAAATGCCAAAGATCATGACCTGTGAGGTCTTTCCACCTCACTTGGAGTCCCTGGAAGTTGTGGCAACTCTGAGGCCAAATTCCTGGGACTCTGTCCTCTGCTAGTCCACTGCCTCCTAGTATATGCCCAAGGAAGGTAACACAAAGGCATAAACACAAACATGCACATATAAATAACTTATAGCATTTTCCTCCATTATAGATGTTGAGTAAGGGAGACTCTGGACTAGGTGCAAGTTTAGTGCTTGAGTGCCAGGGTGCACCCTTCAAATCTCTTCTGTACCTCACTCCATGCTGGAGCTTGCCCTGGAAGTGTCCGAAGAATTGATGTTCATGGGTCCAGGTTTGTACACCAGTTGAGAAATAACAGCCATCACACCAAATGTGAAAGCAAGCAAGTGTGGATTTATTGAAGCAAGAGGAAAGAACTGACAGCAGGAGGGGTCTGAGGGAGGCTGTCCATTTACTCCAGCCCTGGCTATGACTATATGCTGCCAGACTCCTGTTGCCCGATGTACCGGACTATCGATTAGGCACTAGGTGGTCAGGAAGTTTTGTGGTGGTTGTTTTCCTGTTCGTAATTATCCTGTAAACTGGATCTTATCTAGATGGTGGCTAGCTCAGCAACACTTCAGCAAAACACTTCTGTTTTTCTGGGAGCTGTTTTGTTCCTGCATTGTTTAAAATCACTGTCCCATGTCTGACCCTTTCCAGTTCCTCCAGTCCTCACGGTCTCAGAAGCCAAAATATGACTTCTAGGTTGTCTTAACCACCACCTTATAAATTGTTTTGAAGTGGTTATACCACAAAATTTCCTTTACTTTAGAAAAAATTAAGTACAAGGAAGGCTTGGAAAGGGGGAAGATGGTAATTATGTATGAATTGGTGAAAAGTCCCAATTATTAAATACGCCAGAGTATTTTAAGCATTTAAAAATTACAAACATCTATAAATACCATACATTATAACTAATAATAAATATTAAGATAACACTAGTGGGAAAAACATTCTAATAAAAGTTGAAATTTGTATAAAACTATTTTTAATAGATATTGTAGGTATGTCATGCCATATCTATAACCAGTCACAAATGACAACTAATGAGTATTGAATTTAGTACCTTTACTTACTCTCTACTGTGAGAGTTTAGTGTTTTTTTTTTTTTTTTAAGATTTATTTATTTATTTACACAAGCACTGGGTATAGTCAGAAGCGCTGAAGGGTAAGAGAATACACCAGAGTCAGAGAGGGGAACAGAACAGCCAGACTGATGAAGTGCACTGCTGAGGGGAGCAGCGGACGGCAGGAGAGGTCTGCACACCATATGGGACTCTCACCCGGAGGCCAGGGATCGAAGCAGCTGCAGAGGCGGCAGGCACTTCGCAACCCAGCACTCAACCACTGCGCCACTGGGGAGGCCCGAGAGTTTAGTTCTTAACTGTGTCCATCAATCAGTATAAAATATATTCTTCCCTGGTTGTCTGTTCTGCTGGGTCAGCATTTCTGAGATGGGGTGAAGAGATAATCATTTAGAAATTCCTCCATCTTAAGGTCAGAATTATGTAAAAATGGTCTGGGCTGCAGGAGTGGGTCTGAGGAGAGCTAATCTAGTTGGGCTCTCTACTATGGAAGCCACAAGCCACATGTGACAACTGAGCATTTGTAATGTGGTTGGTCCAAACTGAGATGTGCTAGAAGTGTCAGATACACTCCCAATTTCCAAGACTTAATATAAAAAAATGCACACTATCTAGTTAATAATGTTTAATGTTAATTATATGTTTAAATAATGATGTTTTGGATATATTGGCTTATGTAATATATTGGCTTACTCACATTTTACTTCTGTTGGACAGTACGTAACCAAATAGCCTTTCCAAATCCTGGAGCAAGATACAAAGGGAAGCTGGCCTACTTCACAGTCTCTGGAAGGGTTTGCCTGGGAAGAGGTCAAAGTCAATGAACAACTTAACCTCACTAGCCAAAGCCATTCCTCCCATTTCCCAGGACCTTGGCCCCTGGCCAACTTCCTCCAGAGGCTCTACTTGCTCTTCTGAAAAGTGGTGTCTGCTGCCTGCTATGAGACCTGGGACTTGAAATTGTGGATCATGCAATGCCTCTTCCTGCTACTCTCCCAGTTGTTTCTAGCAACAACATATAAGCTCTTCCTGCTACTCTCCCAGTTGTTTCTAGCAACAACATATAAGGATTCTTATGTGTCCGTATATCATCCCTTCATCCTCCCAGTTCTCTGAGGTGGGTACTACTGGCTAGCTCCACATGATCTGAGGTTCCCCAGCAAGCCTGGTTAGAGCCACCCAGTATAGGCATGACAGACAAGTCATGGGCAACAGCAGGCCAGTCTTTCCCCAGCAGACCCCAATCCTTCTGGGTCCTAGCTGGTTGGCTGGCTGGATCTTATGACAAAAGAGCAGATGCCAGCATCAGACACTGCTCCACAAGGATCAGGATCTGTGTGCTGTGTGAGCCATGTTTGTTTCTCTTGGCTCTACTGGGGGAAGGAAACGCTAGGTGTTAGGAAGTGCATCTGGAAGCAGTAGCTGCATTTGAGAGAGAGGATTATTCTGCTGGCCTGTCTATGTATCCTTGGCCTCATCACCCCCTCAACCGCTGCCGGGCCCAGCCCTAAAGACACCATAGTCTCCAGGATTCTGTGATACCTCTAGAAAATACCCCTAGAAGACACTGAAATTTAGCTTCAGATTGAAGAAAATTATCCATTTTTCCCTCTTGGGGTGGGGGATTAGGTAGATGGAAAAGTTTCCCTGGTTCTCTGGAGCCTTTCCTTTTGTGATTCCTTCATTGTTCAATTCAATGATTCTCAGAAAAGTCTGGCTGAGCACCCTCAGACATCTCACCTTCCATTCTCTTACTTAGCTTTATTCTAAATCAGTGAAAGTAACAGTAAATATAAATTCCCATCTACTCTGGCAAGACTTCAGCCCCTTTTCAAGGCCCTGTGCTTAAAGAGAAGTTGCTGCTCCAAGCTTCAGATCCAGTCTCACATATTTAAGGATTGGAAATAGGAATGCTCACATCCTCCTAACTCCAAACGTCCTCATCTTGATGCACATACATTCTTTTGGAAATTTTGACTTCACAAAGATTTTCCTGTTAAATCAGATACGTGGAGAAGGTATTTATGCTGACAGCAGAGGACATACTTAGCAGGAGAGTTTATTCTGTGTCTCTAACACATGGGGAAAAACTGCACCTCTAGTGACCAGTGTTTTGTACCATCCATGGGCCTAGCAACAAGTTGGGCACACATAAGGCAGTCAATGCTTTTTAGAAATGACTACAATTTATTTCTGGAATACAGTTCCCGAAAGTTGGGTTCTTGGAAGACAGGGCATCTCAACAGTTATCTCCCATTCTGCCTACCTACTGCATATCCTGCAATCACCCTGCTTTGGTTGACTGAGTAGGAACTGTGGCCTTTTAACAAACCGCAAAGGCATTGCTAGCTGCATGGAAGGCCCAGGGACTGCGAGTGTCAGAACTCCTGCCGGAAAAAAGAAGTGAAAGAAGCTATTATAATCCTTCTTATGAAAAGAAGAAAAGTGAAAATATGTGTAAGACTGAGAAGTGCAATTGCTGACCTTGCAGGATTTGCTTTCCTCAGGACAGTTTCTCTGAAGAGGGACCCCTAAATAAGATCTTTGACTCCTATCTGTACCCTAAACATCCTATACATTCTGCAGGACTTTTAAATGCTCCCCGATCCTCAAAGAACCCTCCTTCACAGGACTAGGAACAGCGCGGGCTCTTGGCGGCCCGCCGTCGCACCACCCCGGGAGCGCCGGGAGCGCGGCCTCTGGTCGCCCATCCAGGGCCTGGGGCCTGGTACCAGCCCGCGGGGAGCCCGGCCGCGCGCACACGGGGGGCGCGCCTGTGCCGGTGCCGGCGCCTTTCCAGCGCACAGCCGGCGCGAAGCCCCGTCAGCTCTCTCGAGGCGACCCGCTGCGGCTCTGCCCTCGCCGGCCCCTCGCCGCGGCCCTGCCCCCGTGAGGCAGAAAGGCCCGGGCGGCCGCCGCCCTCTGGAAGCGGCTCGGCGCGGCGGAGTCCGCGTCCAGGGGCCGCCGGCCAGAAGGTCCCCGCCGAGGCTGAGCTAGGATGGCGGAGGGCGCCGCCGGGGAGAGCGGGCGCGCGGGGGCCGGGAGGGGCCGTCGCTGTCCCCCGCGCCCCCACTCGCCAGGGCGGCGCTCGCAGACGCGGGGGAGCGGCCCGGGCGGAGGGGAGAAGACGGCGGCCTGATGCCCGCGGCGCCAACTCTGCCCTCCCGGCCCGCGGCCCCCTCACCGGCCTCGGACTAGCTCCCCGGCACCGCGCACCCCCGCCGGCCGGGCCTGGGGCTGGGGAGGGGACTGCGGGCCGCGCGGCCGCCGCGGGGAGGGGCGGGCCCGGAGTGGGATCCGGCGCCTCCGCGCCCCGGTTGCCTGGCTCGGCGGCCGCGCGCCGCGACTGCTGGCTGCGCCCGGGCCGAGGGCTCCTCCGAGGTCAGCGCCTGGCCGGTTCCGTGGGGCTGCGGGGCCGCGCAACGCCTGGGCCCGGGAAAGGGCGCTGAGCCGCGCGCCGCCTGCGCCCGCCCTCCCGGGCCGTTGTGCGCGGCTTGGCTGTGGGCCCGTCGGGGCGCGAGCAGTTGTTCAGCGGGACTCGGTGCGAGGCAGTAGGTGCCCGC